ATAAAAACCAGAAAAAGCTATACTCTCTGTCTGAACCAAATCTCCATCCATGCTCTTATATCTTCATCAACCTGCGTTCATATTCAAACGAACTTCACGCATCATCTCTGCAAATTCAAGACGAATCTGAGGGCACTTCAACCTTCATCACCTTCGCATATTCATCACAGCAAACCAGAACAACAACATAACGCTTCTGCACCTATGCGATAACTATCATCATCATCTTCATTTTTTCAAGACAAACCAGAATAGGAAGTAGAGGAAAGTTTAAGGAAGAAGAAGCGGAAGGTTTGGAATATTACCTTCGTCTTCTCTGAGTTTTCTGGATTTCCCTCTCCAAAGTCAAGAACCACTGAATTTCACTTCCTGAAGGTTTGATGCAGAAAAATAAAAATATGGGTTGTGTTGTTGGATTGAGTGGAGGAGCCTTGGTTTCATTGCATTTCGCCTAGGCCCGATACCATCATTTTTGGCATACTGAAGCTAAGTGCAACAAAAAATTATTATACACCCTATCTGATTGGATATAGCAGTTTACTACAACATACTCCTTGATTCAACATACACCCCCTGTTCTATTTCAATTCCTAATTTGTTGTTAGAATTTTAGCAATTAATTTGGGATAATTCTTTTACTTTTTTTTTTTGTTGTATTTGGTGTGGGTATTAACATGTTGATTTCTAACTTGGTGATATTTTTTCCATAATTTTTCTATTTAGTTTAGGAATTAATTGAACTAAAGCTTGGCATATGTTTAGAATTAGGATTTTAACGCGTCCTTATCAATTCTATATCCTCGAATTAATTTCTTTGGCATGATAAGAGGTTTAATGGTAGATTCTGAGCCTCGAATGATGCTTAGGTTGAGTTACATTGTCTTGTTAATTTCTAACTCATTTGGTTTATTTTGTGCAAGTTTCCAACGCATGTCTCTCGTACCATGAGACATTGGCAGATTATTTTGCATTTTATAGTTTTTGTGCAGGACTATTACATGATGATTCAAACGCGTGTGATATATTTTCACATGGATGCTTCGACGCTTAATTTTACATCCTATTTTCTGATTATTTCTCTTTGGTCGATGCAAAGCTTGCACGAAGTTCTCCTGGTTTCTCTGCTTTTCTTGTTGTGTTGCAAAACTATTGTTCGTTTGGTATCATTTTGGTTCTGACTTATTTTTCCGTACTTTATAGTTTCCTAGATATCATGAGAAGTCTGAAGTTTGTCGCTTTCTTTGCCATGAGAAGTAGGACTAGAGATGTATGATGGAGGTCTCCATTGCTGATCATGTTAGGAATCCCTCTAGTTTATCTAAAGACTTGTTTAGGGCTATTTCACATTTTGTGCATTATGCGTGCTACTTGTGTTTGTTTAAAACCCTATCTTTGAAGTAGGTATTCTATAGGTGTGTTTACATTTGTGCTCGCATATATTACAGATGATAAGTGCTCAAAAGGAGGCGAGCAGAAAGGGTTAGTAGCCAACCCCCGCACATTCTAGTCTGTGTCATCCTTAGCTCACGTTGTACGTTGATGCTTCGTATTTGTCAGATCTTGTGTATCGAGTCAGTCATGTGGAAAATGATTTTGTTCCAACCCTCACACTTTGGCAGGAGTTTGCAATGGCCAATGCTGACATTCTGCTACCTGCTTGTTTTCTTCGTGTGATTCGTCCCCCCTTAGCTAAAGCATTTCTCTTCTTTTCTTATTTCATCTTTCTCCCGCTTGTTGGCTTTGGGTTATCTGCTCCCCTTAGCTAAAGCATTTCTATTCTTATACGTTCATGAATCCCGCTTGTTTGCTTTGGGTGATCCTCTCTCCTTAGCTAAAGCATTTATCTTAATTTTTATTTCACCTACCTCGATTCGAAATATCTTGGTTAGGCATTTACCTGAGTTAGTGTGTACTACTCGTGGCATGTGGGTGCTCTCTTGAGCTTGTTGATTACTTTCTTTCTATCCTTGTGTACATTTTTTCTTAAGTTGTGAACCTTTGGCATGTTCCCTTAGGAGTTCTTGGTTCAACCTTTTATGATGATTCACAATAGACATAGATTTAGGTTGTAAACCTTTGCTATGCTCCCTTAGGACTTCTTGATTCATCCTTTGGTGATGATTCGAGATAGACATTAGGATAGGTATCCATGCATGCTAACCTAGGGTAGATATTTCCCTTTGAAAACTCAACCATACGGCCATCATTGTATGATTACACTAGGGCTAGAGATTAGGATAGTCACCCTTAGTTGTTTTCTTTTCTTTGAATTCTTGCATTAAAACTAAAACATTTTTATTGGTAAATGATAAAACATCTAACAATATCCAAATCCTTTTTCAAGGTAAAAAACATCAACCAGTGTAAACTTTTTCCTCCTTCGGGCCTTTCTTTGGAACTTTAAAAAGGATGTGTTAATTCTACTCTACACAACATGATGTGTAAATCCCCAAAGGTAGGGTGGCACTATGTCTAAATTTCTAGAGCACGAGTATAGCATTATCCGCCATCGGGCATTTTTATTTGCAAATACCTTGATAGGTAGAACATGTTAATTCACTTATGTGTTGACGTGTGAGTCTCCAAAGGTCGAGTTGCAACAAAAGGAGAAATTAATATTGTTCATCAAAAAATACAAACCCACCGAAACTAGTGAGTCGAACTATGATAACTCTAATTCCTCAAAAAGGATACGTAGGCATTATGGTAAGGCCAGAGCGAGCACAACTTTATTTTCCCTACATTATTTTCTATTTTCTTTCGCATGCATTCCTTCTTTGAATTTTTCTCCTAAGTTGTTAAGTTGTAGATTTGAACACACCCTTTTATTAGAACAACAAGAGTGGATACCGTAGAGTACTACGGGCGTGTGGGGTGCTAATATATTCCCCACGCTTAACAGACCCCCTTACCCATATCTCTTGGTCGTTCGACCTTGATTTCACCCTTATCAGGCTTACTCGATGTTTACCTTTCCCTTCCTGTGTGATAAAAAATGTTCAATGGCAACTTCATTGATTTCATCTCGATGATTTTTTCAACCGGTTGTTTCAACTCTATATGAGCTATGGAAAGGAAGAAAGCCTAATGTCAAATACTTTCATATCTTTGGACGTAAATGATGTGTCTTGAGTGACAAAAACCAAAAGGTTAAGATGGTACCAATAAGGGACGAAGGCATATTTCTGGGTTACTATTTAAGAAGGAGAGCTTATACAGTTTTTAAATCCAGAACTAGAATGACAATAGAATATATCAGTGTGGTAATTGACGATTCAATTACTGAACAAAGGATGGATGTTGAATATGTAACACCTTATTTAAATACATAGTCATTGTTTTTTGATTTTGATTTTGATTTTACTCTGGAATTTTATGGTGAAACTTAGTTCTGAGGGATAATACTATTACTATTAATATGATTGTTATTATTAAGAGTTATTAATATTGTTATTAATATTATTATTAATATTAATATTAATATTATTTTTAATTATTATTCTTAGTTGAGGGTTAGTAATAATAAAACACGATAGAATAGTGTTAGATCATTTGAGAGAAAAACTATTGTCACGTAGAAATAGAGAAGAGAATAGAAGAGAGAACTAGGGAAAACGAAAATTCCCCATTGAATGGGTTCTCTAACTTAGTGATATTAACATGAGAGGGTAGTGAGGGTTCCTTTCCCTATTTAGGTTTTTCATGTATGAATTGATGAATGTCTTCTTGGTTTGAATTATGTGATTCCATGTGATTCTTGTATGAAATTCATGATCCAATATATGCAATGAATATGTTGTTGCTGCTGGTTTTTACTGTTGTTGTGTTGTTCATATAGATCTAGGAATGTGACAAAAAATGAAAAATTAGATGTAGAAATTATTGTAGATTCGTAGGATAATGAAATTATATGAAATCCATAAGTTGTTATGTGAAAGAATGTTGTGTTGGACCCAATTTTGGAGGTTGAAAGTGCTCAAAACGAATAGAAAACAAATTGATGCGATTGCAGGAATTTGTGAAGCTAACTGGTCATACACATATGATACGCATATGGGGGGCGTCCCAGAGGGCCGTATGCTTATGGTATACTCCCTGTCCCCAGTGCCAGTACGGCCTTCTACCAATATGCGTATGATACACATATGGAGAGAGACCAAATGCGTATGGAAGGGTCATACGCGTATGGTGAGTTTGGAAAAGTTAAAGGGAAGGAAATGATGTTGCTCGTACGCGTACGGTACGTCTATGAGGTCTGGGAGCAAGAGTCATACGTGTATGGTACGCATATGAAGTCTAGGCGCATGATCCGTATGCGTATCATAGGCAGCTGGACACATATGGGCAGGTGAAGGTGTAAAAATTCTCGTTTTCGCGATTTCTTCCCGTTCTGGCGTGTATAGTGTATTCTCTCGATCCATAATAATTAGTAAGGCTTAGGTGGACATAAGGAGGTTACTATTAATAATAAGTTAAGTTTGAAACATGGGATTTTATGTGGAATTTATGTTGTCTGATGACGACGATGATGGTATGTATTGATGAATGTTGAAGGCTTATGCCTTATGGTGTATACTTATGTTATCGCATATGATGTCGCACATTGCATACTGGTGAGGGCTTATGCCCTTTTGTTGGCCTGTAATGGAATTGTGATGAGGGCTTATGCCCTGTTATTTCCCAAATTGGAACACGAGATTAGGGCTTATGCCCTGATGGTACCACATGCATTGAGTTGATGTTAGTCTCATTACATTGCATTATTTTAAGTTGATGTTGTATTACGTGAATGATATGTTATGTTGCTAAGCGCTGTATGATATGTGGATTATGTGATTACTACTCCTTAGAATGTGAGATTCACCGTGCATTTATTAAATGAAATTCTCACCCCTTTTGTGTTGTTGTGTATATGCTCCCCTGGGAGTACAAATAATCACGTACATGAGTAGTGCTTAGAGTGAGTGTTACCTGATCGAGTCTTAGAAGTCGCTCTGATACGTAACACAGGAATTGGGGATCTTTTTTATGTTTTTCTTTATATCTTTTGTTACATATATTCCATTTGACTTGTGTTAGACCACACATTTGTGGAGTTTTATTTGTTGTTGAAGTTGTAATGACATGGAATTGAATTAATTTTATTATTCCGCTGCCGAATTAATTATGTTAGGATAAAAGAAGTAATAAAGTGACTTTGAATTTTATGAATATTTGAAGTATGTGACATCCTCCTTATGTACTCTAATATATGTTGATGTAATTGGTATTGTGGGAAAGTGGGGTGTTACAGAAGACAATGTTGGAACATCCTCTGTGCAGACTGGTGAGGCATTAAGGGAGGCAATTTGTGAATTTGCAAGCTCTGAATCAGTTAGTTGTTAAGTCAACAAATGTCTCTCTACTACATGCCAGATAGAACAATCCAATGAAATAATTTCAAGCCATCTTAATGAAGAAGACATCTTTGAATCCAATAAGAAAAAATAAAATTTATGTCGTACTTCTAAGATTTAACCAAAGATGTCTCCTACTACTCAAGAAAGGAAGATATTGAAATACATCA